ACCATTTAGTTTTGACATCGGTCATCTAGTTTATGACCATTTAGTTTAGTTTTGATATTGGTCATCCAGTTTGTGATCATTTAGTTTCATAAACTAGACAACCGATGTCAAACTAAACTGTAGCACAAACTGGGCGGTTTTTGATGAATCTTGATGGTATTTTAACACTTTCTGCATGGCAATCTATTAACTGGATATGTGTATTAGATTATAGATGGTAAACTCAGTTTCTTTCCTTTTTTCATCAAATCTGAATGATACCCGGTCCCTAGATTAGGACATTTAACTAGAGGAAAATCAAAATTCAAATTTATACAGGGTAAATGGAATGGAGCTAAAGATTTGACGTTAAGAACAATTCTTTAGAGTTAAATTATTATAGTGGTCAAGTTTAATTTCCTGGCTACTGTTCAGAAATAAACAACCTCGTTGAATGTTAATCTGTAACAATTAATTGGTACATATTTTTAAAAAGTTGTCAGGAAATTAAATGCTTGTAAATTGGATACTCATTATTAAAATTAAATGGTCAGCTTGAAACTAGACACAGGGGGTTGGGTGGCCGAATGGTTAGCACGTGCGCGCTGTATCACAAAGCCTGTCATTGAGTCAACTGGTGTGGTTTCGAATCCCCGGTTGTACGTGGCAAGGAGTAGGGTTGCCTGTCCAACCTCATGGGTTTTTCTCCGGGTCCTCCGGTTTCCTCACCCTGCTAAAGACCCCTATGCACAAGTGAATTATTGAAATAAAATTAAACCATATGTTGGTCCCGAAATGACCTAGTTTGTGTCAGGTGGACGTTAAACCCCATTTCTCTCTCTCTCTTAAACTAGACACAAGTACAAATTTGACGTTTTTCACGATTGAAGATTTGATATTATACGAATGTCAAAGAAATTACATGTATGACTTAATAGCAAGATTAAAGGCTCAATACCACTCTTGTTGTAACTGAATAATATGTCCCAATCTTTATTCTGGTCAACAAATTGTACTATTTTACAATATTCCAATTAATTGGTGATATAAATTTCATCTTAACACACCTAATATAAAAAATTGGAAAAATTCAACTAAATGATTTGAAAAGCCTGACGTAAAGCTTTTCAAATGTGACTTGGATTTAAAAATATTTTTGAACCCTCTAGACAAGTAAAATAGGATTTAATGGATAATTTACACAATAGGTAGGACACTAACACATCTAGTACTTAGAATAAGGCTATTTTTTTTTTTCTGGAGCTGTCAAACCAGCAAGAGTGTTATTGTCCTTTTAAACGATAACAGGGTCAAGATAATTCCTTATGATTTTCCAGGCTGGTCATGGTGCAGGACAGAGGGCTGGGCAAGGAACAGTGTCGAGTTGTTTGAATGGGATGAAAAGCCCAAGTTCCGTGTTCACATTAGGGGTTGCAATTCTATAACTCGATTGCTAATTAGGAAATGAAATTGGGTTCTGCTCCGACTGCACGAATGAAGAAGGGCATACGCCATAGAGTGTGTTATGAGAGGAATTTTGCCTGGGCAGCAGCACTATGGCCTACTCTTATATCAAATTCCAACTGCCAAAAGATCTTTAACATGCATGCCAATCTGTACACCTGACCTTGATTTTTCTTCCCATTGCAGAAAGCAGGAAATTAAACCCCATTTCATTTCAAACAAACATCATTCTGTAACATTAAACAGAACACAATTAGTTATGGCAGCTAAATTTGATATGAGATCTTATCATTTTGAAAGATTTTAATCCTAAGTATATTATCTATTCATTCGCCTCTGTTTTTTTAATCATACTAAAACACAGAACCAGGATATATTTAAATCATACTAAAACACAACCAGGATATATTTTTGTTTCGTGTTCTAGTTCTGTATGACGGATGTGTTCTCTGTGTAAAATTAACTTATTTAGTTTAGTAATAGCTCTTTTTTCCCCCCCTCAATATATTAGTGAAACACAACATGTACGTAGGCAATTATTACCTTAGATTCCTGTAGGCCACACCAATTTGGTGGTTTGTTTTGCTATACGAAATAATTTGATACACAGGTCACAATTAAACAGGCATTATGGAAGAGCTGAATCTGCCTATTGCAGGTTTTTCTTTAGGCCTGAAATGTTATCTAAATTATTAATTAGATGTCATCGCTAGCCTGCAATATTTACTGGATTTAAATCTGATTTGCAACTCAATGCTCATTGATGATTTAAAACAGACATTATGCAAGAACTAAATCTGCCTACTACAGATCTTTCTTTAGGCCTTAAATGTTATCTAAATTATTAATTAGATATTAATTAACTTACCAAGACCATAATCAACTCTCGAAACCATTGGGTGCTGCAATGTTCTAAATTACTAATTAGATATTAATTAACTTACCAAGACCATAATCAACTCTCAATGCCATGGGATGTCTGCGATATTTAGTGGATTTGAATATGTTTTGGGGTAGATGAAATTAAATAACCGTAAAAATGGACAATCAAAACCTTGTTTATTATCGTAACTATGGCGATCGAGGCTAGCCTATAATTGAATGGCTAATATCTAGGCCTAGATAGCTTGATCCCTGCATTGGCCGAGAAACTTCATCCAGATTTTCCGGCGTGATTCCCCCTTGTCAGTGATGCAGGATGGAGGGCCTGACAAGGGCAGCAGTCTAGTCGTCTGGATGGGAAAAAAAACTGAGGTCCTGTGTACACATTGGCATGCACGTAAAAGATCCCTTGGCATCTGGAATTGGATATAAGAGTAGGCCGAAGTGCCGCTGTTCGGGCAAAATTTCCCTCATCATACCACACTGTATGGTGTACATCCCAAACTTAGGCTGCCTATCTACAGCTAGCTCCGGCTGAGAATAGGCCCTAAGCTAATTAACCGACATTTTAATTCCTACATCGACGATTTTAGTCGAAAACACTGAGTATGCTTTTAGAAATTTTTAAAAGTATTTATTTCTCTTCTATTGTCATATTGAATGAAATTAAATATGTTTATTTAGCCGCTGTGTGTATGAAAAATGTCAAACTAATCAAAGCCGAATCACAAAATAGTCCTCTAATTATTCAATATGGCAGCGCCCATGAAACATAATTTCACAGAGGCGGTTTTATTTGCGAAAACAAATTTAGGAGTATCTAACCTTGTTTTGAAAGATAAACAGATTGAAACTCTAAAGACAGTTTACAATGGTAAAGAATTTATTGCAATATTACTCATAGCACATATTATATATCGCTTTTACACGAGTGTCAGCGACATGCCGTGTTTACATAAAACACACGTGTGTGGGTTATTTTTACTCTGTTGTCTAAACAAAGCGGTCTCGAGTCGATAAGTCCCGCCCCAAAATGATCACATGAGCGTTTTAAATGGCGGATAATCAGTGCAGTGTCACATTCTGGGAAGTATGACGTAGATGGGTTGCTGCGTGCAGTATGTATGGTGTATTTCCGTCTTCATTAGCCCAGTTCGGAGCAAAACAGTAGGACGTTAAACCCCATTTCATTTCATTTCATTTCTGTAACCTGTGTATTTCCAGTTCAATAAGTAAATGCCATTGAAACAATTTCAATAATTTGAAAACAGGAATACTTGATGGCTAATATCCCAAATGCTTTTAATTAAAAATGTTGAGGAGGGGTTGGATGGCCGAATGGTTAGCACGTGCGTGCTGTATCATACGGCCTGTCATTAAGTCAGCTGGCGTGGTTTTGAATCCCCGGTTGTACGTGACAAGGAGTAGGGTCGCCTGTCCAACCTCGTGGGTTTTCTCAGGGTCCTCCGGTTTCCTCCCACTGCTAAAGACCCCTACGCACAAGCGAATTATTGAAATAAAATTAAACCACATGTTAGTCCCGAAATGACCTAGTTTGTGTCGAGTGGACGTTAAACCCCATTTCTCTCTCTCTCTAAAAATGTTATGGTTCTAAATTTGAAACAAAAGCTTGTTCGCATGACTCCTGTATTTATCGAGAACCCGATAATCTAGAAATAAAATTGCTTTGACCTTAGTGTTAAAACATGGGGATGAGTATTGCATTTTTTCAGGTTTAAAACATTTTTCAATCTTGTCATATTTTTTTTCCCCAAACTGCTTTCGGTTGTGAAGCCAAATGACATCAATTTATGTGATTTGAGTTAAAGGGTTATGGTAGCAAATCTTCTTTTGAAAGTTTGTTGTATCCAAGGGGCCGATAGGGGGGAATTGGTGGGTGTGTACGGGTGGGTGTTTATTTAGTGTGTGTATGAGACAGAGAGAGAGAGGGGGGGGAGAAATGGGGTTCAACATCCACTCGACACAAACTAGGCCATTTCAGGACTAACATGGTTCAATTTTATTTCAATGATTCGCTTGCGTGTAGGGGTCTTTAGCAGTGGGAGGAAACCGGAGGACCCAGAGAAAACCCACAAGGTTGATTGTGTGTATAAAAGATGTACATGTAAAATGGATTAGAACCGCATTACAATACACCCTGGATTAGAACCGCATTACAATATACCCTAATTTTAAAGTCTATCCTCAAGGGGGGCTGGATGGCCGAATGTTTAGCGTGTACGCGTTGTATCATAAGGTCTGTCATTGAGTCCACTGGCGTGGTTTTCGAATCCCCGGTTGTACGTGACAAGGAGTAGGGTTGCCTGTCCAACCTCATGGGTTTTCTCCAGATCCTCTGGTTTCCTCCCACTGCTAAAGACCCCTACGCGCAAGCACATTATTAAAATAAAATTGAACCATATGTTAGTCCCAAAATGACCTAGTTTGTATGGAGTGGACTTAAACCAGATCTCTCTCTCTCTCTCTCTCTCTCTCTCTCTCTCTCCTCAAAGTAAATAGTTATCTCTGTGCAGATTGTTCGCAGGTACATAAAAAAATGCAACAAGTGCCGAAAACCTACTCTTATAAATGGCATTAGAGAATATACGATTATCGAGACTGTGTAAATAAGCTACTTTAATTTCATCCCTGGTTATCTTTGTTTTATTTTCCAGCATGCAGCTGAACTGGAGAAAAAACAGAATGAAGGAGAAAATAAAAAGTTAATTGGAACAGTTTTACAATATGGTGGCGTCGTCCAGGTAACCATACTCTATTATTTTGATGAATCGTTATTTTTTTAAACAAGAAATGATGATAAACATGGCGTTTCTTCCATTTAGAGGAAAGAAAACATGAAATAGCCTTGAGGAATTTTGATCGTTAAAGATTTATGTTGGTTGCTTTAAGCTCACTGGTTAAAGTAACGGTTTGTGATTTGAATTTTTCGGAAAATATCAAATTCTCATTGCTTAAAGATACATTATGGGAGATTAGATAAAGAGCTGGCAGTTCTCACTATAATATTTAAAAACTAAATAATATAAAGGGAATTACTAAAGTCGGTACAATAAAAAAACATAGTCTCGATCATCCATTTCATGATTAAATCATGAATGGAAGTCGAGCAGCAAATCGGAACCTAATCCAATAAACATCGCAGCCTAGTGATGCCATCGAGAGTTTATTATGGTCTGGATAAGTTAATTAATGTCTAATTACTAATTTAGATAACATTTCAGGCCTAAAGAAAGACCTGCAATAGGCAGATTTAGCTCTTGCATAATGTATGTGTAATAAGGAGATACTCAACATTTCCTGTGTCGCATTTAGATGGGTGTTATTGTGTAATAATAGACATGTCTTAAGATCATTAGAAACAAGACATTGTTACCATATAATTAAAAAAACAAAATAAAAATACTAATAGATCCATCAATTAGTTTTACGATCAATAAAGATGTCAGGGCAGGGGGGGCGAAATAATAGCCCAACCAGGGCAGGCTTGTATAGCCCAACCAGGGCAGGCTTGTTATTACATAACCTCAGCAGCATAGAAAAATTTAATTTCAAATCATCATAATGACAATGAACCATATGGGCGTATATTGTCGTCGCCTCCGTCGGTCCGTCCGTGGACGCTCTAGAGGCTAAAGTTAATATCCGATTGACTTTAAATTTATATACAGTGTTCAAGGCCATGAAACGAAGAAGCCTATTGATTTTCAGCGATTTCCGATAATTACTGCCAGAGTTATGGCCCTTGATCACTTCAAAAAATCTTATGGACGCTCTAGAGGCTAAAGTTAATATCCGATTGACTTTAAATTTATACACAGTGTTTAAGGTCATGAAGCGAAGAAGCCTATTGATTTTCAGCGATTTCCGAAAATTACTGCCAGAGTTATGGCCCTTGATCACTTCAAAAAATCTTGTGGACGCTCTAGAGGTCAAAGTTAATATCCAATTGACTTTAAATTTATACACAGTGTTTAAGGTCATGAGACGAAGAAGCCTATTGATTTTCAGCGATTTCCAATAATTACTGCCAGAGTTATGGCCCTTGATCACTTAAAAAAAATCTTGTGGACGCTCTACAGGTCAAAGTTAATATCCGATTGACTTTAAATTTATACACAGTGTTTAAGGTCATGAGACGATGACGCCTATTGATTTTCAACGATTTCAGATAATTACTGCCAGAGTTATGGCCCTTGATCACTTTGAAAAATCTTGTGGATGCTCTAGAGGCTAAAGTTAATATCCGATTGACTTTAAATTTATACACAGTGTTTAAGGTCATGAGACAAAGAAGTCTATTCATTTTCAGCGATTTACGATAAGTACTGCCAGAGTTATGGCCCTTGATCACTTTGAAAAATCTTTTGGACACTCTAAAGGCTAAAGTTAATATCCGATTGACTTTAAATTTATACACAGTGTTTAGGGTCATGAGATGAAGTCTATTCATTTTCAGTGATTTTCAGTTATGGCCCTTGATCACTTTGAAAAATCTTGTGATGCTCTAGAGGCTAAAGTTATCATCCGATTGACTTCAGATTGATACACAGAGTTTAAGAGCTTGAGACGAACAAGTATATTGATTTGTAATGAATTTTTATGACTTGAACAGCTAAATCCATGATATTAAAAAACAAACAAATTCTAATGGTTTTCTGATAATTACTTCATGAGTGTATTATAAATGTTTCATTACCGAAAGAAGTAAAAATATGCGACAACACTTGTTGACTGCCCGGACGATTTAGCTGCTGTGGGCGTATGTTTTGTTGCCTGGCAACCTATCTTTGATTGATATTTTTATTTGAGATTCGACTTTCACAAACTAGGTCATTTCGGGACTAACACATGATTCAATTTTATTTCAATAATTCGCTTGGCCATACATGTAGGGGTCTTTATTGGCAGTGGGAGGAAACCAGAAGAGAGTGACATAGCTTGATATTATACATAAATAAATAGAAATATCTTTCCCCTTGTCAGTGGCGCAGGACAGAGGGCATAACAAGGACAAAGGACAGCTGTCTAGTCGTTCGGTTTTGTGTACAGATTGACATGTACGTAAAAGATCCCATGGCAGTTGGAATTTGATATAAGAGTAGGCCGTAGTGCCGCTGACCGGGCAGAATTTCCCTCAGGGCATACTGCATGGCGTATACCCGCCTTCATTTCATTTTTTTTTTTTTATACTTTCGATGGCCTACTCTACACAAGGATCTGACCATTGGTAGCGATAGGTCGCATCAGAGGTCATATGAGCGACTTGATGCTATGATGTCAGACATTTGATTAAACAATCAGCATTGATGTTACTAGTGGATTACCCACAATTCCGTGCAAAACATGCCTAAAGCTCGCTGTAACAGACCGTTTCATTGGCTAATAGCTCACATCATTCAAAACAAGTCAGTGATAACAACTCTTCCAGATCTTAGTGTAGTAAAGACAAATAAAGCAAAATTTTGAACTATAAAAACAAAACGAAATAGGATCTGTGTTTTAACCAGATTGACACTACAGACAAAAGAAAACTTGAAGACTAGGATACAGATGGGGACATAATAAATGTACAGTATTAATTATTATCTAGGAAATTTAGCAATGTGTTTATTCTGCTATAATACCAACATACATTGTAATACACTGTAACCCAGGTATCGTTTAATCTTGTTTATCTAGCACTAATTTCTTTCACATGTTTCATATCAAACTTTTGTTTAAAAACAGTTTAAAATCACCCTAAAATCGTTTAAATTGTACATGTGTCCAGTTTAAAGCTGACTGATTAATTTTGATAATGAGTGTCCAATTTACAAGTATTTAATTTCCTGATCACTGTTCAAAAATTAATCATTATACATCATTAATCAATTGGGTTGTTTATTTTTTAACAATGATTGAGAAATTAAACACTTGTAAATTGGACACTCATTATCAAAATTGAATGGTCAGCTTTAAACTGGACAGAAGTACAAATTAAACGATTTATGGTGATTTTAAACAGTTTTTACAAATTTTTTAAACAAGAATTTGATATTAAAGGAGCTAAATCGCTAACATTTGGGACCTAGAAATTGACAAACGTGCGTCGCAACGCATATAATACTGTAATATGAATGTATATAAACTGATTTACATTCAATGGTTTCCGTTTTTACTCCAATTTCAAATCATCTATGTTTGGTGAAATAAGTCAGCAGTCTCAAGCAAGTGCAAATTTCTAGTGTCTGGTTATTCCAGTCTACATACGCCGTTTGATTTGGTGCAATGTGTCTAGCCTCGTCCCTCGAGTCTCTTGATACAACTGGGGCTGAAGCGCATTATGGTACACGATTCGTGTACCAATGGTAAAATGTTTATTTTGTTTTAAATATTGGATATCAAAAGCCCATCTTTTACCGGTAAGATCACAACATGAATGTTGATTTAATTTGACAAATAATTCGTGTTTTCAATGTTGAAGATTTTGGATGATATTGAGTTAGAGACTTAACTACTTTAAATGAATGTGAAAGAAATTAGTGCTAGTTAAACAAGATTGAATGATACCTGGGTTACAGTGATACATCATATAGGATTTCAATTTTATCACACAATCTAGTGAAATACAAAAAGTACTTTCTTTTCTGATATCTAACTAATATTACGGTTGTCACTATTTCATCTTCTCTCTGTTTTTTCTTCTAAATTTCCATTATTTATGTTACACTTAAAGGGACTATCCCGATTTGAACAGGGTCTCCAAAATAAAAGTCTGGGTACGTATGAAATTTAAGCGCCATAATATAGAGGAATGGTGTATATACCGTGTCTCAAAATGTCAGCTCAAAATATTGAGTCGTTTGGACAACGTCAAAAATGCTTATCCGGACACGTAACCCTTTTTTCATTGGGTGACCTGATAATCAATCGATTCCCGTTCCTTTAGAGGTTTATACAGTAAATGACCCATGTGCTGTAACTGATAACGAAAGGTAAATTTCACCTACACATTATTTTTATAAAATAAAACCTGGTTTATCCAGACACCGCATAATACAGCTTGGGACACCGGTCTCCATTTCCAGATGAAGACTGACGGTTTTAAGTTGTTTGAAAACGTATCACAAATATTGAGTTAGTTGCTCAGTCCTTAGGTAGAGGATTTTAAGGGATTTTAACACAAAATTAAGCAGTTTTATTCTCAAAAAAATTATCGGGATTCGCCCTTTAAATTGTGAAGGTGACTGAAATAAATTCAATGATTTTTATACGCTTACATTGTCGATTTTCCGTTGGTCCGGTGTCTACTATTTCATTTTCTCTCTGTTTTTTCTTCCAAATTTCAATTGTTTATGTTAAACTTAAATTGACTGAAAGTGAATGAAATAATTCTATGATTTTTATACGCCTACATTGTCGATTTTCTGTTGATCCGGTGTCTACAATTGCCTGTTGACGCTCTACAGGCTAAAGTTAATGCCCGATTGATTTTAGATTTACATGTATACACAGTTAAGTATTTAAGTTCATGAGACAAAGAATCCTATTGATTTTCAACAATTTCTGATAATTACTGCCACAGTAAAAAATGGCCCTTGATCACTTTAAAAAATCTTGTGGCTGCTCTAGCATCAAGTTAATATCTGATGGATTTTATACACTGCCAGAGTTATGGCCCTTGATCACTTAGGAAAATCTTGTGGACGCTCTTAGAGGCTAAAGTTAATATACAAAATGATTTAAGGTCATGAGACGAAAAAGCCATGTTGATTTTCAATGATTTCTGATAATTACTGCCAGAGTTATGTCCCTTGATCACTTTGAATAGTCTTGTGGACGAGCTAGAGGCTAATTTATACACAGTGTTTAAGGTCATGAGACAAACAATCAAAACAAATTCTAATGATTTCTGATAATTATTTAAAGGGCACATAAGATGGACGACATTACCTTTCCGTACGTATAGCCAATGGTTACTATATCCACTTTACGGCAAATTTACACCAATTTGATTAGAATTAATTCGGCTATCTTCAAAAACTTTGCCAATTATCGAAAACACTCTTAATCCCCTCAGACGCCAGTGACACCACAGTGACCAAATGCATATTCCGAATGTTTATTCCTTAATGACCTATATACAGCTGGCGTGTGTATTCATTAACGCCTAACTGATTCCTTAATTCCCCTAATTAAATAAAACAAAGTTATAGTGTCCCAAAGCATAAACCAATCAAATTGCTTATCTCTGTTTAGCCTAAGCAGACAATGTTCATCTTTGAACCCCATCAAGGTATTCCCCCAATAAACACCTACACCAAGTTTGAACATTCTAGCTCAATTAGAAAGAAAGTTATTGTGTCCCCAAAAGTGACAGAGAGACGGACGGGCAGACCCATTTTAATAGTCCCCTGCTTTCTTTGAATGACGGGGGACAATAATGAATATAATATTGTCAAATAATATTGTAAGCCAAATGTATTCACAATATGCTTATAAATGATACATTTACTTGATAATTCAAATTTCTCAATACACTCCTGTATATGTCTAATAATCCTTGTCTGATGATATGGATACAATTTGTGTTTATGAGATGAAAAGATTTTTCCCATAAATCTCCCAAGCCAATTTTAAAAAGTTCCTTCTTAACATTCAGGACCCATGGGTCATTATTAACATTAGAGTTGCAAGAATTAAGTAAGACATTAGTAGAAGAACGTATTTTAATCCAGTATTTATCAATCCGTAATTTTCTCGTAAGGATTAAAGGGAAACGTCCAAGTTCATAATAGATCATGTGGGAATTTGTGGTTGTTCTTGTATCAATGATTTTCCTAAGGTACCTTAAATGTATTTGTTCTATATCGTATCCCGAATGAAAACTCCAAACTAAAGCCCCATAATTTAGAATACAATACAAGAGATAAAAGTATCAAAAGTTCAAAGTTTAGTTACAATATTAAAATAATTTTCATTACAAACTTTTGAGACTGAGAAGAGAGGCTTTTCGACCCTGTTCAGCAATGTGTTTTTGTGTAATTAGATATTTACCATTAAAATTTAGTAGTAGGCCAAGATATTTAAAACTATTTACAACTTCAATATTACAACCATTAAACATGCATTATGCAAGAGCAAAATCTGCTTATTACAAGTCTTTCTTTAGGCCTACATAGTTTTATATTGGTAAGGATTCGAGTTATTTCAACTGCCAAGGAATCTTTTACATGCACGCTTGTGTGCTTGAGATCTCGGTTTTTTTTTTGTCCCATCCAAAACACTAGACAGCTGTCCTTGTCAGGGTCTCTATCCTGCACCACTGACAAGGGGAATCCCCGGACAAGAGATGAACAGTTAGACATATTTGAAGGTGACTTGAATGATATTGATAATGATGTATGTCTAGTCACTAGCTTTATCAAAAGGTTTCATCTCTTTATCTTTTATCTTTGGAGGGGGGTTGGATGGCTGAATGGTTAGCACGTGCGTGTTGTATCATAAAGTCTGTCATTGAGTCAACTGGCGTGAATTTGAATCCTCGGTTGTACGTGACAAGGAGTAGGGTCGCCTGTCCAACTTCGCGGGTTTTCTCCGGGTCCTCCGGTTTCCTTCCACTGCTAAAGACCCCTACGCGCATGCAATTGATGGAAATAAAATTGAACCATATGTTAGTCCCAAAATGACCTAGTTTGTGTCGAGTCAACGTCAAACCCCATCTCTCTCTTTCTCTCTCTCTCTTTTATCTGTAAGTTTAAACCATGTCCCCCTGCTTCTCTCCATTCCACTCATACCCCTCAAAAGAAAATATTACTTGTTTTCATTCTTTAGAAATTTGTTAAAAATCCTGAAGTCAGAAATGGGATATGCAGTCCTTCACGTTTATAAGATTGTGCGGGAGCCCAAAAAACTTGCCAATTTAAAAAATGAGATAAAGGCTCCATAAAAAAAAAACTCTTCTTAATTAAATTGCAAGAGTAATTCTTCATTTTCTTGAATTAAGGATAGCTGAATGGTTACCACGTGCGAGCTGTATCATAAGGTCTGTCATTGAGTCAACTGGTGTGGTTTCAATTCCCCAGTTGTACCTGACAAGGAGTTTTGTCTAGGGTTAGTCTCGAAATGACCTAGTTTGTGTCCAGTGGAGTTAAACTCCATCTCTCTCTCTCTCTCTCTCTCTCTCTCATTATCCCATGTGGTTCAGAATAGTAGGACATTAAACCACATTTCATTTCATTTCATTAAAAATCTGAATAATACCTGTAGGCCTGCATAGTTTTATATTGGTAAGGATTCGAGTTATTTTCAGATTTAAAATGAAGCTAATAAAATTGCGTCTCATTTAAGCTGAAGTAAATCAATAGAAGTTATTTTATTTGACGACTGTAGATGTCTGGTTACAACTCAAGTTGAGCAGACAAATGACTTGTTGAAGTTTGATCAATTATGTATGTGTCTCAGTGAATAATGGCGGGGATAATTTCTACGTGGCTGGTTTATGGATAGATTTAACGACCAGCTTATTTATAATCTCCTAGACTTGTCTTCTCGCCATTATGATAGTGATGTGGTTAAATAAAGCTATATAACAACTCTATTTTAAGACAAATCTGATAGAAGCAGTTTATAACATCTCATGAATAATATAGGTAATGGGGGTGGGGAGAACGTCAACACTTCCTTAAAGATACATTATGGGAGATTAGATAATGAGTTGGCAGTTCTCACTATAATAGTTAAAAACTAGATAATGTAAAGGCAATTTGCTGAAAATTTCATTCAAATTGATCCACTATGAACCTGGATTTTAGCGAATGAATTTTTAGGCCTAGCCTCGATCAGCATTACTAAAGTCGGTACAATAAAAAAACATAGTCTCGATCATCCATTTCATGATTAAATCATGAATGGAAGTCAAGCAGCAAATCGGAACCTAATCCAATAAATATCGCAGGCTAGTGATGCCATTGAGAGTTTATTATGGTCTGGATAAGTTAATTAATGTCTAATTACTAATTTAGATAACATTTCAGGCCTAAAGAAAGACCTGCAATAGGCAGATTTAGCTCTTGCATAATGTATGTGTAATAAGGAGATACTCAACATTTCCTGTGTCACATTTAGATGGGTGTTATTGTATGAAATTTCCGATCATCATTACTAAAGTCAGTACGATAAACAGCATAGTCTCGATTATCCATTTAATCATTAAATTGTGAAGGAAAGTTATAAAAGTGGGATAGCGCTGATAGGAAAAATGAAGTTTCTATCTGCTGTGTCATTCAATCCACCGACCATGTTCCGGTGGTTATTTGCTTAATGCACATAATACTTTCGTTTATTGTCACTCGCCTGAAGAAAGTAGGTGATTATAAAAATGAGTTTACTTGTCCATCCGTCTGTCTGCCCCTCTAGGGGGGGTGGGGGGAAGGTCTGTCATAGAGTCAACAGGGCTGGGCTTGGCTTCGATTACCCGGTTGTGCGTGACAAGGAGTAGGGTCGCCTGTCCAACCTTGTGGGTTTTTTCTGGGTCCTCCGGTTTCTGCCCACTGCTAAAGACCCCTACGCACAAGCGAATTAGTGAAATAAAATTGAACCATATGTTATTCCCGAAATGACCTAGTTTTGTCAAGTGGATGTTAAACCCCATTTCTCTTTCTCTAGGTCATCCAGTTTCCTCCCACTGCTAAAGACCCCTATGTGCAAGCGAATTATTGAAATAAAATTGAACCATATGTTAGTCCTGAAATGATGTTACCCCCTTTCTCTCTCTCTCTCTCTCTCTCTCTCTCTCCAATAACACAATAACTCTGCTTCTAATTCAAACTTTTTATAGATCACTAATTGAGTACATGTTTTATTTTTTTGCAGTTACTTCACATAAAAAGCAACAAGTTTTTGACAGTAAATAAACGTCTTCCTGCATTATTAGAGAAGAATGCAATGAGAGTTAATTTAGATACTTCTGGCAATGAAGGATCATGGTTTTATATACAACCATTTTATAAACATAGTTCACAAGGAGATAAGGTAAGTTTGGTCCTTCCGTCATTTCCCGTCTTCATTTGGGGGTTGGGTGGCCGAATGGTTAGCACGCGCGTGCTGTATCATATGGTCTGTCATTGAGTCAACTGGCTGGGTTTCGATTCCCTGGTTGTACGTGACAAGGAGTAAGGTCGCCTGTCCAACCTCGTGGGTTTTCTCCGGGTCCTCCGGTTTCCTCCCACTGCTAAAGACGCCTACGCGCAAGCGATTTATTCAATAAAATTGAACCATGTGTTAGTCCCGAAATGACCTAGTTTGTGTCGAGTGGACGTTAAACCCCATTTCTCTCTCTCTCTCTCCCGTCTTCATTATTGCCTCTGCAGTCACGATGTGATACACATTGTGATTCGGGTGCTACGATACGATTCATATCACGATTCATAATCAGGTCAATATTTACCAAGAAAACCACTGGATAAATGAATAATTGATATTTTGGGCCTGCCGATGTCGAAGAAATAAAACTGTTTTATATCACAATATTGATGAAAATCAAAATAAGGATCAAAACAATTTAAGGCTATTTGTATAAAGTCAATCTCAAGATCTCACAAGTTATAGTGGGAGTTCACTTCAGGGGTCAAACGAGCGGCTTTTGACCCTATGATGCCAGATATTGATTAATCAATCAGCATTGACGTTTCTATTGGTTTACCCACAGTTCCGTGCATAAAAAGGCCAAGAACTCGCTGTAACAGATCGTTTCATTGGCTAACCCCTCACATCATCTAGAACATGTCAATGAAAACAACTCTTCCAGATCCTAGTGTAGTAAAAACAAGTAAAACGAAATTTTGATCTATAAAAACAAAACGAATCTGTGTTTTAATCTGATTGAGATAATGTTGTGTGACCTGGATAATTAGAAGTGAATTGTTACTTACTAAAGCAATCTGATCAAAACACAGATCTATATTTCGTTTCAGGGGGGTTGGATGGCCGAATGGTTAGCACGTGCTTGTTGTATCATACAGCCTATCATTGAGTCAACTGGAGTGGTTTCGAATCCCCGGTTGTACGTGACAAGGATTAGGGTCGCCTGTCCCGAAATGACCTACATGTAGTTTCTGTCGAGTGGACGTTAAACCCATTTCTCTCTCTCTATATATATATTTCGTTTCGTTTTTTATACTTTCGATGGCCTACACTGACAAGTTATAGCGATAGGTCACGTCAGAGGTCAAAAGACCGACTTATGACCCTATGACGTCAGACATTTGATTAACCAATCAGCATTGATGTTACTAGTGGATTACCCACAGTTCCGTGAAAAACATGCCTAAAGCTCGCCGTAACAGACCGTTTCATTGGCTTATCCCTGACACCATTCAGAACACAAGTTAAATAACAACTCTTCCAGATCCAAGTGTAGTAAAGACAAGTAAAACGAAATTTTGAACTATAAAAACGAAACGAAATAGGATCTGTGTTTTAACCAGATTGTTGCTAAAGCGACATAAAAAAGAAACGCGAATGTGAATCGTGTTTTAAACTCCATTCTACTTTTCTGCTTGACAAGTAGTAGATTCCATGCATTGCCTTGTACTTGACAAGTGTTTTCTTTTGTGGGTTACCCATTCTTTCCTCCGCTTTTAATTGCAAATTTATGAAAAAAAGAGTTTTAAATATATATGTAGTATGGCAACGGTGTGCTTGACTTGTGTGGATGTTAAACCTGTGCATTTGGTTGGGAAGCCATGATAACTCACTAATCAGGGGATCCCAGGTTTGAACCTGGTTTTCGCTGAGAAAGTAAGTTGGGATTTTCTAGCCAGTTTCCTATTGATGGTGATGCGGGACGGAGTGGCGTGGTTTCGATTCCATCCACTTGTACCGGTTCCTGCAAGTCCCCCCACTGTTTAAAGGGACAATAACTAAGGGTGTGACGATTAGTCGGTTTAGTCGGAGTCGGTTCGGTTTTACCTACAAACCGGTTCAAGTCTTGGGAAATCGATAGTCGTCTAAAAAATACAGCATGATATAAACCAGTCGCTCGAATATTATAGCATGTTTTTTTTTTAAAAAGATACATGTATTAACGATCGACAATTATGGGGGCGAATAAGCAATAAGCTACATCATTGATAAATTGTCGACAATAATAATGAGACAGTATATTCCGTAATCGGCCGTAGATATTCCCGCGATAACAAGCGAGTATGTTTTTGCATACCTAATGAAGTTATTTTAAGAATACGTTATTTGATTGGTCGGTCACTAAGGTCAATGGTTGAAGTGCCCAATCAGAAACAAGTAATCCTCCAGGTTAGGTCAATAGGCATGCGCACTGAGCTGATGCCCAGATACGCTTTCTTGTCGGTTTATCACTAATATTATTGATCAATACGTCATTGTTTGAAGTTTTTTATATGTTGTATTTATTACTTTTATTAAAAAGGTTAAACAGGAGATTTGAACAAACTACATAGTACAACCAAAACTAAATTTTTTAATGTACCGGACACATAAAACATAGAACTGTATGTCGCCATTACAGTTTTAAGCTCCGTATATAAAGGCCAGTATATTAGCGTGTATTGCAGACTATGGAAGACTAATATTTTTCAGTTAGTTTTCATTACCGACTAAACCGAATCGGTTCCTTTTTTTAGCCGCCGACTAACCGGTTCAAGTTTTGCTTAGTCGTCACACCCTTAACAATAACACTCTTGCTGGCTTGAAAGCTCCAGAAAATAAATAATATCTCTATCTAAGTACTAGATGTTTAAGTGTCCTACCTGTTGTGTAAATTATCCATTACATCCTATTTTACTTGTCCAGAGGGTTCGAAAATATTTTTAAGTCGACGTTTCATTTGAAAAGGTTTACGTTAGACGTTTCAAACCATTATGTAGAATTTTTCAAAATTTTTAAATAAGATGTGTTAAGATGAAATTTGTATCATCAATTAATTGAAATATTCTAAAATAGTACAATTTGTTGACCAGAAAAAAGATTGAGACATATTATTCAGTTACAACAAGAGTGGTATTGAGACTTTAAGACCTACCAGCAGTTTGTGTCAAGTAGACATTAAACCTCATTTGTCTGTTTTCTAGGTTGTAGTTGGTGATAAAGTTGTGTTGAATCCTGTAAATGCTGGACAACCTCTACATGCTAGTAACTGTGATCTGATCGACAACCCAGGATGTAAGGAAGTTAACTCTGTCAACTGTACAACATGTTGGAAAGTTATTCTATTTATGGAATATCGGGAAAATAAAGATGATATTGTTAAAGGGGTAAGACAGGGCTTGCCACGAGCAAATTGGAGGCGAGTCGATAACTACTCACGCAAATATAGACTTGCGCGAGTGAGGCGAGTACATGTATTTACTCCCACAGAATGATGTGCGTGAGTAGCCATTTAAATTCCATGTGCCTAATGGCAATGCTCTTGTCACTTCGGTGGAAGCGGACGTTGAATAAAGGTATTTCACACACAATGACAATGCATACTCTTTTATTTCCTTGGCAAAAAAAAATATCTGTAAATCGTCTTCCCATGACAAGAACGTTGCAAGAGAAACTGGGCTTCCCTTTGCCAGCGTTGGCGTGCTGAGGGGATTCGGGTAAAGCTTAGAAAGGTAAAAGAACAGGCAAAACAATTTCAATCCCATCAATTTGCAGAAAAGATGCGGGATCGAAAGAATTGCTATTAATAGAAACGACAACATCCGCTCAATGTTTGATTATCCAGACACGGCAAAGGACATCCGCTTAAAAACCGCCTGGCAGTACGCGTCTCAAAGTATTTTTAGTAACAACAGTTGGCACTGGAAAGACACGCCGCGTGCGCAATAGTGCATCGATATGAAGGCATACAAATTGTTTACGGCTTTTTATATTACGATATTCAATTATTTCTGATTTAATTATTTTTTATATTTGCGCGAGTACTTAATCACTCACGTAAATTTGGTTTTACGCGAGCGTAGCGTGCGCACGAGAAATTACTCGTGTCTCGTGGCAAGCCCTGTAAGATAAATTTTCATTATTTTGATTAATACCATTTGATCTCACGGTGGCTAAGTCGGTAAGACGCTGGCTTTCTAGTCTGGAGGTTGTGTGTTCGATCCATGCATTGGCCGAGAAAGTTCATCATAATTTTCTGGCGTGGTTTCCCCTTGTCAGTGATGCAGGACGGAGGGCCTGACAGGGACAGCTGTCTAGTCGTTCGGATGAGACGAAAAACCAAGGTCCCGTGTATACATTGGAATGCACGTCAGAGCAGAACAATAGGACATTAAACCCCATTTCATTTCAGTTTCATTTCATTTACATTCCTCGTTATTGATTTTTGGAGGAAGGGCATGGTGGCTCATCAAGAAAGGCGCTAGCTCACAAACCAATGGGTCCCAAGTTTGATCCCACGTTGGCTGAGAAAGTTCTCCGGGATTGTCCAGGGTGGTTTCCCTTGGAGTGAGGGCCTGTTGGTGTGCACATTTAGATTCCTTAAACATACATTATGCAAGAGCTAAATCTGTCTTTAGGCCTGAAATGTTATCTAAATTATTAATTAGACATTAATTAACCTATCCAGACCATTATCAACTCTAGATGGCATCACTAGCCTGCGATCTTTAGTGGATTATGAGCCGATTTACTGCATAACTTTCCTTCACGATTTAACAATTAAATGGATAATCAAGACTATGCTGTTTATCGTACTGACTTTAGTAATGATGATCAAGCTTAAGGCTAGCCGGAAATTTCAACCGCTTAGTTCTCGGTTCATAGTGGATCAATTTGAATGAAATTTTCAGCAAATTACCTTTACACTATCTAGTTTTTAACTATTATAGTGAGAACTGGCAACTCGTTATCGAATCTCCCATAATGTATCTTTAACAGTTGGAATTTATTTTAAACCCCATTTCATTTCATTTTGTGTTTATAGGGAGATGTTGTAAGATTGTTCCACGCTGAACAGGAGAAGTTTTTAACGGGGGATGAATACAAGAATCAGCAATATGTTTTCCTCCGCACTACTGGAAGAACTTCCGCTACTGCTGCTACAAGTTCTAAAGCATTATGGGAAGTGGAGGTAAGGTGGTTCGAATTAATTCCAGAAAATTATTCTCAGTCGTCGGCATCCTGCACACAGAGGACTATCAACTTCAAGAATAGATCTCTGCCGTGAATGGCCCCCATATCAAAACATTAGTATACTATTTTGTCATGTGGTTCTACTATGTTTCGGGGGGTTGGATGGCTGAATGGTTAGCGTGCGCGCGCTGTATCATAAAGTCTGCCATTGAGTCGACTGGCGTGGTTTCGAATCCCCGTTTGTACGTGGCAAGGAGTAGGGTCGCCTGTCCAACCTCGTGGGTTTTCTCCGAGTCCTCCGGTTTCCTCCCACTGCTAAAGACCCCTACGCGCAAGCGAATTATGTAAATAAAATTAAACCATATGTTAGTCCCGAAATGACCTAGTTTGTGTCGAGTGGACGTTAAACCCCATTTCTCTCTCTCTCTCTCTACTATGTTTCACATCTGCCAAACATACAGAGATTAAATAAACTTTTTTCAATTTTATTAAATGGAAGCAGAATAAATACTTCTCAATGTATACTTAGTGTTTTCCGTCAAAATCGTCGAAAAGAGCTTAATAAGAGTAAGCTGTAGCACCGCTGTCTGAGCAAATTTTCCCTCATAGCACCCCCCCCCCTCTCTCTCTCTCTCTCTCTCTCTCTCTCTCTCTCTCTCTCTTTTATTGATTTCATTATTGTTATATTCATCAGGTGGTACAGCATGATGCTTGTCGGGGTGGAGCTGGTCATTGGAACAGTTTATTTCGTTTTAAACATTTAGCTACAGGGCAATATCTGGCAGCAGAGGTAAGTCAGGATTTATTAAACATTCTGCCATAAAGATATATTATGTAAGATTTAGATAAAGAGCCTGCCGTTCTTGCTATAATAGTTCAAAAATAGATAATGTAAAATGAATATATTGAACATTTCATTTAAATTACTCTATTCTGAGCCAAGTTATCACTGTTTGTAGTTTTGACAAGATGTGTGCATTGATTGTTTATTATCGTAACCATATTACTAGATATTCGAGTCTTAGTCTCGCTTCTCCATTTTTAAATTAAATCTTTAAATCGCCGAATCGTTCTAATCTAGTTAAAATCTTAAGTATCCGATGTCATCAAGAGTTAATTATGGTCTGGATAAGTTAATTAATGTCTAATTAATAATTTATATAACATTTAAGGCCTAAAGAAAGACCTGCAATAGGCTAATGTAGCTCTTTTTTAAGGAAAAAAAAAATAATGAAAAAAGTACTTAATTGCTCTTCTCATATTTGAACAAAACATGGCACACAATATAATTGAGTTGGTTATTTATCGTACAAGACCCTGAAGAATTATAAATTAAATTAAATTGGCCTAAAGTCGCTGTCAGAAAATGGATATTATCAGGAATGTAGCTTTAAACCTGTGATCAGATTTTTCACAGCTTAACCCACCTAAAAATTTACTCAAATCGATTGTTGACATTTATATATAAAAACAAGATGTGAGTGATTCTATTCCTTCCAATGTATATATTAGTATAATATTCATTGTTCTGAATTCCAATCTAGGGGTTGGGCCAACGATTTGATTTGTCAAATGAGTGCACTTTAGATCAAAAGTTCTAATCATTGAGTCAAGGGGGGCATGGTTTCGATCCTCCTGTTTCCTCCCACTGCTGAAGACCACTACATGCAAGCGAATTATTGAAATACAATGACCTAGTTTGTGTGAAGTGGACCTTACCCCATCTCTCTGGTTACAACTGTTTTCTTTCACCATCAGTGTTAAGTAATTAATTAGTCTGTTAATTACTGAATACTGCCAGTAAACGTAAGCAGTTGTAAACCCTACACTCTTTATCTGATCTAGATGACCGTTTTAAACTGGGAGCCACGGTGGCTCAGTGTGTAAGACCTTGGCTCGCTAACCTGGAGGTCACCTGTTTGATTCCTGCATTGGCCGTGAAAGTACATACAGATTTTCTGGCGTTGCTCCTCCATGTCAGTAGTGCATTACCAAGGGCCTGGCAAGGGACAACGTATAGTCTAGTCGTTTAGATGGGAAGAAATACCGAGGTCCCGTGTACACATTGGCGTGCACATAAACATTCCTTGGCAGTTGGAATTCGATATAAGAGTAAGCCGTAGTGGTGTATGTCCGTCTTCATTAGCCCAGTTGGAGCAGAACAGTAGGAGAGGGATTATATAGGCTTTGCTTGTTTCCTCATCCTAATATTCAATAAAATATTGTTTAGAAAAATAAAACAGTAGGACATTAAATCCCATTTCATGGCGTATGCTCGTCTTCATTAGCCCAGTTGGAGCAGAGCAGTAGGACAGTAGGTCTCCCATTTTAATCTTATATATACCATATTGATTATTATACATTACAGGTAGATAACGACCCTACACCTGATGTAACCAGAAATAAATTACGAGGTCAGATTGCTTGGCAGGTGTTCTGTCTCGTCTCCGTACCACATGGACATGATATCGCTTCCATATTTGAACTTGATCCAACTACTATGATCCGTGGAGACTCTTTAGTTCCAAGGTAAAGAAACATGGTCCCGTGTTCACAAAGCATTCTGAGACTCAAGTTAAGAATTACCTCAAAATTGTTCGCTTAAAATATAGTCCTTTATAAAAATTTTGTTGTTTTAATATATACTCAGCCAAATTAAAAACTTGACACTGATGAATTTCAACAAATTTTTTTTTTCTGGTAAGTCAAATAAATTTTAAAGTGTTTCTAATGATAGTAAGTAGTAAGAAGTCTTTAATTTCATAAAATTGTAAAGTCACGTGGATCACGTGACTTTTGAGCATATAAAGATGAAAAACCTGAAAAACATGTGCAAACACAAACTCGTGAGGTCAATCGATGCAAGTTTGCTTAAACTGAACACGCACACGTAACTTGAACTGGAAAAACAAATTAAAATTGTTATTTTCATCTTTGTTAGAAAATGCCGCGCCTTTCAAATGTAGAACGTCTACGTGCTATAGGTAGGCTCTATGCTGGTCAGTCTGTGGTCACTGTTGCAAGAGCCTTTAATTGTTCACACCAGACAATAATTAATCTTAGAATGAGAGTGCTTCAAAATGGAACTATTGCCGCCCGCCCAAGGGCGGGAGCGCCACGCGTGACGTCACTCCAGGAAGATCAAGCAATACGATTACGTCATCTTAGAAACAGATTTGTCACTGCAACCTCCACAAGTAGAGAGATGTTTGGTGGAAGGGTAACTGCACAAACTGTTCGAAATCGCTTGCAGGCTGCTGGTCTTCGAGCTCGGAGGCCCTATAATGGACCAATATTGACACCTCTTCATCGCTGTAACCGACTTGTGTGGGCCACAAGACACATAAGATTTACTCAAAGGCAGTGGAATTCGGTTGTCTTTAGTGACGAATCTCGATTCACTTTGAGATTTGCCGATGGCAGGGTCCGAGTGTACCGCAGACGAGGTGAACGTTACGCCCAAGTATGCGTCAGAGAAGTTGACTGATTTGGTGACGTTGCGGGACCTTCAACATGCTCTTGCTGAGCAGTGGCGACGTCTTCCTCGGGTAGTGTTTACTAATAGTCTGAGATCCATGAGAAGACGTTGTGTGGCAGTACAAGACACTAGAGGAGGCCACAACCGTTACTAAACACTTTATTCCGATTGTTCTCCAAGTCTCTGAATTTCATTTTGGGGGGTACTGTGACATCACGAACCTTATCAATATCAAGGACTTTCGGCGAGACGTTTTCTTGCTTTCTGTTGATGTCAAGGTCGTCTGTGCACAACATAACACTAAAATAGTTGCCTTAAACCAAATATTAAAAATCTAGTCCCAAAAATCCCGAGTGTCAAGTTTTTAATTTGGCTGAGTATATTAAATACATCAATAAGAAACTATGTGAAAAGTTTTGTGTTTCTGGATCAAAGATATTTATCATAAACAGTGATTAAAAGTTGAGTAAATTCTTAACTTAAGTCTGAGAATGCTTTGTGAACTCGGAACATGATTTAAATTTCTCTACTGTGTTGTAATCTCTATTGCAAACTAATTGAATTCATTTAAAGGGCGTATGGCTCTATCCTTTGCAAACTAATTGAATTCATTTAAAGGGGGTATGACTCTATTTTTTGGAACCTTGAACTAGACAAAAATGGTTCTAAAAGCACATATTAATGTAATTTAAATGTATGTAAAGTGATTCATATTCAATTTTTGAAAAAAAAAATGTAATTTCTAATGAATTATTTTCGGTGAAATGCTTGAACAGTTCAAATTAAACTGCATTGCTTAGTGCATTCTATATGTTTTTTAAATTATTATTTTGTCGTTTGTGAATCAGCCTTTACTTATTACTTCCACATTGTGTTGTAGGATTTGCTTTTATTTGTTCATTACAAAATGGCACCCAAAACCATATGGGAAATTGATAAATTTTGAATTTTAATTCGTGTTTTTAATTTTGAATTTTATGGAAAATATTTAGTTAGAGACTTAGCTCCTTTAAAGCAGGAGTGTCTAATCTGTTACATACTATGCATTAAATTGTTTACACAGATTCAGATGTACTCTTGTACACCCGTCTACAAATAATCTTTGTAGACATAATTTGAATTTTTACTTGATCAAGTTATCAAATAGAAACAAAAATCTGATAAAAATTATTTACCTTCAATGAGAATTTTGAATAACAATATAATAAAATCGCTAAAAATAATGAATAGGCTTCCACCTTAATTTATTGTTATCACAAGAGTGCAGGACTGAGGGCCTGGCAAGGGAAAACGTATAGTTGTTGAATGGGATGAAAACCGAGGCCCCGTGTACACATTGACGTGCACACAAAGGATCCCTTGGCAGTTAGAATTTGATATAAGAGTAGGCCATAGCGCCGCTGTCCGGGCAAAATGTCCCTCATAGCACACTGTATGGCGTATGCCCGTCTTCATTAGGCCAGTCGGAGCAGAACAGTAGGACGTTAAACCCCATTTCATTTCATTTCGTTATCACAAGGATGTAAAGGACCATTTCTATCAATCCAATGTGCCACGTTTAGATCCTGATTTAAAGTTACAGTTTCATATTTTCTAAGAAAGTCAAAACATAATTATTTCTATGTCTTTTGCTCAATAGGTTGTCAACTCACTATTATACGATCATAGGTTATTTTTCTCACACTTACAAATCTTCACACCGGAAATAATAACACAATTACCTCCCAATTACCTCCCTTGTTTTCCTATTCTCCACCATGGAATAGCTATCTTCAAAAGTTGAAAATGATATTTTTGCCAATTTCTCAACTGGCAATAGTGAATTATAGGAATAAGGGGATTATTCTTTAACAAGGTAGGACTGTTTATAGATACCATCTATTTTAGGGCTTTATTTTAATACATTTTAAAAATATAACTTAAGAATATGAAATTGTAACTTTAAAGTTATTTTTACTTGTATTATTCTGATCAGTTGTCTTTGAAAGGATGGGCGAAATGTCAAGAGTACAATTACAAAGATTTTTTATTAATTTGTTGCTCCAATCGAATTGTTCCCCGTCTTTCAAAAAGAAACGGGACTATATTAAAATGAGTGGACGTTAAACCCCATTTCTCCCATCTCACAAATTGAATCACAACTGATTATGCTTATTTATGATATACAATTCATTATTCGTTGCATATTATTTTATTTGTTTTCAAATTTTCAGACAAACTTTTGTTCGTCTTCATCACCTCTGCACAGATTCTTGGGTTCACAGTACAAGTATACCGATTGATAAGGAGGAGGATAAACCAATCAGAAATAAGGTATAGTATCACATGACATAAATATTTCAAAATTGGTCATATGTGATGTTGTTTGTATTTGGATATTGAAAGATATTGTGTTATTCACTAAGGACCGGGTATCATTCAGATTTGATGAAAAAAGGAAAGAAACTGAGCTTACCATCTATAATCTAATACTCATATTCAGTTAATAGATTGCCATGCAGAAAATGTTAAATACCATCAAGATTCATCAAATAACGCCCAGTTTGTGCTACCCTTTAGTTTAAGAAACACCATTTAGTTTTGACATCGGTCATCAAGTTTATGACCATTTAGTTTAGTTTTGATATTGGTCATCCAGTTTATGACCATTTAGTTTCATAAACTAGACAACCGATGTCAAACTAAACTGTAGCCCAAACTGGGCGTTATTTGATGAATCTTGATGGTATTTAATGCTTTCTGCATGGCAATCTATTAACTGAATATGAGTATTAGATTATAGATGGTAAACTCAGTTTCTTTCCTTTTTTCATCAAATCTGAATGATACCCGGTCCCTAGTGAATAACACAATATCTTTCAATATCCAAATACAAACAACATCACATATGACCGATATTTCATCAAATCTGAATGATACCCAGTCCCTAGTGACAGAACCATGTATTTCTGATTGTTGAAATGAAATACAGCGCTTGCTCGCTTATCCTGAGATCTCTGATTCGCTCCAAATGTTGGTCGAGAAAGTTTCCTTGGTAACCTGGAAGTCTCTGGGTCACTCCCAGCATTGGCTGAGAAAGCTCCTAGGGATTTTCCATGACGTGGGTAAGACGCTGGCTCGCTAGCCTGGAGGTCGGGTGTTCGATCCCTGCATTTGCCGAGAAAGTTCCTGGGGATTTTCCAGCGTGATTTCCCCTTGTCAGTGGTGCTGGAGGGACGGCCTGACAAGGAATAGCTTCTTATCTTTGGGATGGGATCTAAAAACCGAGGTCCTGTGTACACTTTGGCGGGCATGTAAAAGAACCCTTGATAGAGTTTTGAAATAATGGTGGATTGTAGTGCCGCTGACCGGGGCAAATTTACATCAAATTACACTGTATGGTGCATGCCCGTCTTCATAAGCCTGGATTGCATAGGACGTTGTACCCCATTTTGTTTTATTTTAGGTTGGTTGTGCCAAGATAAAAGAAGATAAAGAAGCTTTCGCTATTGTTCCTGTCAGTCCAGCGGAAGTTCGAGATTTAGATTTTGCAAATGATGCCAGTAAACTTTTGGCAGATATTGCATCAAAGTTGGAACGTGGTGCCATTACTCAAAATGAACGAAGGTTTGTCAACATTTTTTATATGTCCGTCCATCAACATTTTGTGTTTGGTTACTCTACAGGTCACAATTTTTATCTGATTTTGAGAAAACTTTAAATATAAGTTTATATTCCAAAAATCTTGGTTCCTTTCAATATTGGCATATATCGGACCGTAACTTCATGGATTATGTCCCCTGATTGTACAAAAAATCACATTTTTAGCTTGTCCCACTGTCCATCTCTTGCAAAATGTGGGCGTATTTTGCATGGCAACCACTTGCTCATATGTTTTTAACACAGAGAGAGAAATGGGGTTTAACGTCCACTTGACACAAACTAGGTCATTTCGGGACTAACATATGGTTTAATTTTATTTACATAATTCGCTTGCGCGTAGGGGTCTTTAGCAGTGGGAGGAAACCGGAGGCCCCAGAGAAAACCCACGAGGTTGGACAGGCGACCCTACTCCTTGCCACGTACAACCGGGGATTCGAAACCACGCCAGTCGACTCAATGACAGACTTTATGATACAGTGCGCGCGCTAACCATTCAGCCATCCAACCCCCCATGTTTTTAACAAAATCACGAAGTGTGCCTAAAGTTATATTCACATAAGTTCAGTTGGATTTACTTGTGCAGTGTGTCGTACGCCCGTATCTATAGTCGCTCCTGTATGAAAGTCCCATATGTCGGATCTGTAGCCGTATAGATGTGCATGTTTTCTTATCAGTGGGCGTGAAAATCTGTGCATTTCCTAAATTTTAATAAAGTTACCATTTCAAGAAACTTTTTAATGTTTTATTTATTGCAGGTTCGTTACTCAACTTTTGTCAGATCTGATATTTTTTCTGGCCAATCTAGAAATGTCGAACACAGGAGCAGAACCACTAGACTTACAAGTAACTAAACAAGATCGTGAACGACAAAAATTATTCAGGGAACAAAATATTTTAGAACAGGTGAGAATTTGGTAAAGGACAGCTGTGATTTTAAGTCATATAATATTCAAAATAACACAATGTATTGAGGACAAAAGATTATAGATTCTATACATGTTTTTGATTGTTCAACGAAAACAGGGGACTATTAAAATGGGTTTGTCCGTCTGTCTATCTGTCTTGTCCGTCTGGCTGTCCGTTACATTCATGGGGACACACCAATAACTCTGCTTTGTGTAGGTGTTTATTAGGTTGATGCCTTGTTGGAGTTCAAAGATGAGCATTTTCTGCTTAGGGTAAGCAGAGACAAGCAATTTGATTGGTCAAAACTTTGGAACAGAATAACTCTCCTTCTAGGCTAAGCAGATATAAACAATTTGTTTTTTATTAATGCCTTGATTCTAAGCAAGGACGAAAGATGATTTCATTACATCTCAAGACCATGACTAAGTTCAATCGTGAGCATTTTCTGTTTAGACAAGGTATAGATAAGCCTTTTTATTGCTCAAGGCTTTACAAGAAAGGTTAATGTGCAATTAATGAATATGTGTCATCTATTTATTATGGGACTGAGCCTGGCGACATCAGCTTCAATGTTGGCTTGTTTCTACATCAGTTGGCAGATTTTTTCTATGGACATGTTCTAATATTGGCTCCTAGCTAATACAAGAAAATTTATACATACCGTAAGACCATATTCCTTAAGCAATGGCCCAAGAAATCCGTCTCTTGCCATTGCTAGATTTACTTCTGATACTTGAGCTTTTGAGGGAGTGTGTCTATTCTTCCCATTCAATCAAATCTATCCCATGTACAGCAACATGACAGCCCTTCGTTTAATCTGGGATCTGCCCTAAAACTTTGAACAGTGATTTAAGGCACTGGTATTAAAAACGATGAAAGTATTGTTCGTCTCCAAACAGTATTGTTTACATTGTATTCGTTGTGATGGCCTCATTTGTCACACAATTAGTTTTTCTGCAATATTTTGCTATACAATGGTTAATTGGGCGTAATAAAATCATGACGTAACGTTATGTAAACATATTTGGTGCAATTTGGAGTTATGTTTAAAGCGTAATGATGTTGTTACGCAGTTAGCAATTGGTTATTAATCGGACTATTGACCAGTCATAACTTGGAACAGAAATTTGCTTCCATTACAGCACAGTGTTAAGTGGGATTAGGTATAATAAAACGAAACACTGCGAGGAGTATGCTGTAAGACATGCAAATTGATACTATGATCCTTTGTACATTTACTACTAGTCATATTTATACTGATCTCGTTTGTGTTTTTTGTTCTCAGATATTCAAGATACTTCAAGCACCATTCACAGATAGGGGTCAAGGTCCCTTTCTACGAATGGAAGAACTAGCAGACCAAAGACATGCACCATTTAGACACATCTGTCGACTGTGTTATCGTATTTTAAAATTATCACAACAGAATTATCGAAAAAATCAGGTATAGTTCTGTAAAATGTATTTTTAGCACAGGCAAGATATTATCCCCATTCCTTGAGGAAGTGGGGGGTTGGATGGCTGAATGGTTAGCGTGTGTGCGCTGCATCAGAAGGTCTGTCATTGAGTCAACTTGTGTGGTTTCGATTCCCCGGTTGTAAGTGATAAGGAGTAGGGTCACCTGTCCAACCTTGTGGGTTTTGCTCCGGGTCCTCCAGTTTCCTCCCACTGCTAAAGAACCCTACACGCAAGCGAATTATTGAAATAAAATTAAACCATATGTTAGTCCCGAAATAACCTAGTTTGTGTCAAGTGGACTTAAACCCCATTTCTCTCTCACTCTCTCTCCTTCAGGAAGAGTTTGTTATTGCCCAGGGGATGGGTGGGTGAGTGGTCTAAGAGAGAGAGAGAAATGGGTTTAACGTCCACTTGACACAATTTTTTTTAAATAATTTTCTTTTAAAACCAAAATGGTTAATGTTAAACAGAAACTTGTTATAATTTATTTTTAAAATATTATATTACAGGAATATATTGCCAAAAAACTACCATTTATGCAAAAACAAATCGGCTATGAAGTGCTGGCTGAAGAAACTATTACCGGATTACTACACAACAATCGCAAATTATTAGAAAAACACATTAAAGAATCTGAAATCGATACTTTTGTTACACTTGTCCGCAAAAAAAGAGAACCAAAGTATGTGAATTTTAATTGTTTTAAGATATATTTGATTTAAGTTGCCCAGAATTTTATGAAAGTGTTTTTATAGTATACAGTTTCAAGATATGTGTATATAAAAGACTGTGTGTATATAAAAAGGATTTATCAGTATCGTTTCTAGGTCTTTTATTTGGATTTTCTTCTTCCATGCTGGTGGGTTGAGGCTGAGATCCAAACTTGCCTGCACTGTTATAGGGACTCTTACGCCCTTCTTTTCCTATCGAGTGTGAGGATTATCATCTCCTTGGGATTATAAAAAAAAAAATTCTTGTGTATATAAAAAAAAAAAATTTGTGTGAAGTAACAAACCTGCAAACCAACTGATGTAGGGTTAAATATTTACAACAGTTTATATGCGATAACCCTTTCTATGTTATTGAAGATATATATATGTCTTGTTTTGTGCAGGTATTTATGTATATATTTTTTGTTGTTTTATGCAGGTATTTAGATTATTTATCTGATCTGTGTGTATGTAATAAGATAGCTATACCAGGAACTCAGGAATTGATCTGTAAATGCCTGTTGAGCTCAGAAAATGCTGATATTTTGATAGACACAAGGTATGTTAATACATCTGGCGCGGCACTAAGGTACTGGGAGGGATTCTAATGATCTTCAGCACAAACAGGGCTAATGAGAGAGAGAGAGAGAGAGAGAGAGCGAGCGAGAGAAAAAAAAAATGGGGTTTAATGTCCACTGGACACAAACTAGGTCATTTCGGGACTAACATATGGTTTAATTTAATTCAATAATCGCTTGCGCGTAGAGGTCTTTAGCAGTGAGAGGAAACCAGAGGACCCGGGGAAAACCCACGAGGTTGGACACAGGGCTAAGGAAGACTGGCATATGCCATGCAGTGTGCTATAGGGGAATTTTGCCTGGACAGTGGCTTTTCCGTCTACTATTCATCAGTTCAAACGATCAATGGTTCCTTTACGTTCACGCCAGCTTGTTCACAGAACTTAGGTTTCATCTGCATGACAAGACCCTGGGTCGTACTGCAACACTGACATAGGGAAACCAGGGTGGGAAAATCCCACAGAAACTTCTCGGCCAACACCGGTATCAAACCCAGTATCGCCTGGTTCACTTAACCGCCATGTTACTCTTTGAGCCACTGTGACTCCTGTGTGGCCGAATCGTTAAAGCATACGCGTTGCATCAAAAGGTCTATCCTTGAATCAAGTGGCGTGTTTATGATTGCCCGCTTATACGTGACAAGGAGTAGGGTCGTCGTCCAACCTCGTGGGATTTCTCTGGGTCCTCCGGTTTCCTCCCACATGCATTATTAAACTAAAACGGAACCATCTGTTAGTCTCGAAATGACCTAGTTTGTGTTGATTGGACCTTAAACCCCATTTCTCTCTCTCTTTTATAATTTATTATGCCAAAAAATTCTGCAGTTAATTATGTGATAGTTGATGTGCCATTTTCATTATACATGTGATTTATTAATAGGCTGATGACAAAAACTTAAATTGAAAGTAGAAATGCCATTTTGACTATTCTTACATGTGATTTATTATTAGGTTGATGACAAAATATTAAATTGAAAGTAGAACTGTCATTTTGATTATTCTTACATGTGATTTATTAATAGGTTGATGACAAAATATTAAATTGAAAGTAGACATGCCATATTCTTCATTTGTACATGCGATTTATTAATAGGTTGATGACAACTCAGGTAGAAACCGAACTAGAAGTAGATTCACCTGATGGAGAACCAGTAGATCCGATTATTACAGTGGAAGAAGAGGAGGAGGTGGTGCTAATCTGGAAACAGGTAAACGACCACCAACAACAGAAAGGTATCCGAGAACTGGCCATGGCATCAGCTGATAACATAAAAGATGATAAAGAAAGTCTGGAATATTACAGGTAGAACTACATACAGTTATCATCTGAATTTAGATTTTCCTGAAGGTTTAACATTTCTAATGAATAACTAATGAATATCAAAAATAAGCCATACAACCTTATAGATTTTCCTGAAAGTTAACTTTTCTAATGAATAACAGGCAACTAACTAATGAATATCAAAAATAAGATATGCAGCCTTATAGATCTTCCTGAAAGTCAGGGGTTGGATGGCCGAATGGTTAGCACATGCGCGCTGTATCATAAGGCCTGACATTGTGTCAACTGGCGTGTTTTCGAAACCCCGGATGTATGTGACGAGTAGGGTTGCCTGTCCAACTTCTCTGGGTCCTCCGGTTTCCTCCCACTGCTAAAGACCCCTAAAAATCAAATTATTGAAATAAAATTAAACCATATGTTAGTCCCAAAATGACCTAGTCTGTGTCGAGTTGACGTCAAACCCCATTTCTCTCTCTCTCTCTTTGTGATAAGTAGTTGGATTGTCTACCTAACCTTGTGTGGTTTCTCTGGGGTAATCCAGTTTCCTTTCACTGCCAAAGACATCTGCTTGTAATCAAATAAATGAATTAAAAGTATATGTGTTAGTCCCAAAATGTTCTGGTTAGTGTTGACTGGTTGTTAATTTGTCTTTATTAGCATTTGATAAAAGTAAACTAAATTTATTAACCATGAGTACATAGGTGCATGTCTGACTTTCACTCTAGCTGGTTAGATATCCTGTTCATATTTACCCTGCATTCTGGCACAAAAGTTCTCTAGCAAAACCGTGATAGAAATAACCTCTTTAGGGAGGTAAAAACCATGATAGAAATAACCTCTTTAGGGAGGTAAGACCGTGATAGAAATAACCTCTTTAGGGAGGTAAGAACGTGATTGAAATAACCTCTTCAGGGAGGTAAGACCATGATTGAAATAACCTCTTTAGGGAGGTAAGAACGTGATTGAAATAACCTCTTCAGGGAGGTAAGACCGTGATTGAAATAATCTCTTTAGGGAGGTAAGAACCGTGCGTGATAGATATAACCTCTTTAGGGAGGTAAGAACGTGATTGAAATAACCTCTTCAGGGAGGTAAGACCGTGATTGAAATAATCTCTTTAGGGAGGTAAGAACCGTGCGTGATAGATATAACTTCTTTAGGGAGTTAAGAACGTGATTGAAATAACCTCTTCAGGGAGGTAAGACCGTGAATGAAATAACCTCTTTAGGGAGGTAAGAACCGTGCGTGATAGATATAACCTCTTTAGGGAGGTAAGAACATCATTGAAATAACCTCTTTAGGGAGGTAAGAATGCGATTGAAATAACCTCTTTAGGGAGGTAAGAACGTGATTGAAATAACCTCTTTAGGGAGGTAAGAACTAGGGAGGTAAGAACATAGTTTGAAGGAGCTCTATGATTTTAGCGCTATAGGAATCTCTTGCAATAGAATATAAGTCCAAATGTAGTTCAGTTGCACACAGTATGCTGTTCCCTATACAAGCCTACAGCCATCTTTATTTGCCATTGATGAGTCTGTCTTGAATCAAATTGAATCCATGACAGAAGATTATCTATCATTGATATTTTGATTTTGTTTTCTTAATTAAATGTTAAATAATCTTGAGAACTTATTGGGAGAAACTTGAGATTTTCCGAAAAATGGAAATCATGCATGGCTACTTTAAGTAGCTCTCCAAAAACTAATCTATTGAATACATTTTTATTTTGTTCCAGACATCAACTAAACCTGTTTGCTCATATGTGTTTAGATCGTCAGTACCTGGCTATAAACAAATTATCAGAGCAGTTAGACGTTGATCTTATTCTTAAGTAAGTTAATATTGTTTATTTTGCCGAATTTTCTAGAAAAATGTTATTGAAAACAGACAGAATTGTTTCAATGGCATTTAGTAATTAATCTGGAAATACACAGGTCACAAAATCTGTGGAATACAATTACTGCTTATTGCGGAGCACCATTTTGACTAGGCTTTGTAATTGTAAGCAGTAATTATATTCCATAGAATTTTGACCTGTGTCATATGATAGATTTTGCACTTGTATTGCATAGAAAGTGATATGTTTATACTGATGTTGTGGCTCAGTGGTTAGGGTGCTGGGAACCACAGTGGCTAACTGAGTAAGACGCTGGCTCGCTAGCCTGGAGATTGCGGGTTCGTTCCCGGTGTTGGCTGAGAAAGTTACAGCAATATTTAAAATCTCAGAAACGTTAATGGTTTCTTTGATTGATTTCCCTTATTGTTAATAGGTTTTCATTTCAAGTGAAGCCTCTATCACTACAAGCACGGGACTTATGGCTAGCTCCCAGATCCATTCACTTGATTTCATATATTATTTTGTTTTAAAGGTGGGTTGGATGGCCAAATAGTTAGCATGTGCACGCCGCATCGTAAGGTCTGTCATTAAGTCAACTGCCGTGGTTTCGATTCCCCAGTTGTACGTGACAAGGAGTAAGGTCGCCTGTCCAACCTCGTGGGTTTTCTCCGGGTCCTCTGGTTTCCTCCCACTGCTAAAGACCCCTTTGTGCAAGTGAATTATTGAAAATTGAACCATTTTTTAATCCTGAAATGACCTTACTGTTTAAATTTGGTTCCATTTTCATATTTAACTACATTTTGTAATATTGGTTGTATTTAGATGTATGGAAGATGAATCTCTACCAGCAGATCTGAGAGCTTCGTTCTGTCGACTTATGCTTCACATGCATGTAGATCGTGATCCACAGGAACAGGTGAAGCCTGTAAAATATGCTCGGCTCTGGTCAGAAATCCCTACCAAAATATCTATTGAAGAGTAAGTAAATATGTGCTAATCTAATCTTTATTTAGATACCTAGTGACAAAATGAGTAGAAAAATGTGTAGTATTGTCTGATATCCGTGGTTTGTTTTTAGACATTCCCATATCTCTTGTGTGTTTGTAACTTGACTTGCACAGATATATAATATAGCGTCAAGTTTTTTGTAAAAAAAAAATAATGTTTAGTTCTTTAGTCATAGTAAATGTGTTGTAGTATGTCTGTAAAACACACAGCCCAGTTTCATTTGTATCCACTAATTGGAAGGCTCATCAGTAGTATAATAGTAATGATAAACTAAAATTAGCATGAAATTATTATAGCTTTAAAAGTGAGACTAGAACTATATTGTGTATTTAATTGTTATTTTAAATCGGCTGTTTCATGTCAGTGTTGCTTTTTTTTTATTATTTGCTTTTTAAAACATTTGTATTATATTTATTTATAATTTGCTTTACAGTTATAATGCTATTCAACAGCATTTGAAGTATGTTAATATGAATAGAATAGAATGAAATATTAATTCAATAACTAACTCAGTTCTACTGTTTGGTCTTAGCATGTTAACAATTTCAGGAATGGGCATTAAAAAAAAAAAATAGATACCACTTTATCATTCAATGATGTTTTCTTGGCTGTTAGCATGTTAACAATTTTAGAATCTGACATTTTGAAAATATAGTGAAAAGATAATACTTTATCATTAATTGACAAGTTATTTTGAATATTGAGAAATTTATAGAAACTACACATGCATTAAAGAATGATTTTTTCATTTACTGTTCTGGAAAAGTGAAGATATGAGATGAAATAGGTTGTAACCTACTGTCAATTTTAAAAGAACCAAGCTAGTTTTATTTAATTAATATTAGAATTATGTTATTTACCTTAGATCCCCAGTACTGCATTATATCAATATTGTATCCTATATTTGATAGAAGATCTATATTTGATAGAAGATCTTTTGATGAGAACTATCACACGTTTTTTGCCCCACTACATGTCAGCATTTCGATTATCTGTCACAAATTTGATTGCCGGGCACAAATCAGCTCAAAATTTAACCCATCAGCTTATTTGAGAAAGTAATATTTTATGGTTTTTTTTTATTCTTATCATTTTGTACTGATAACTAGTTGTAAAACTTTCCCCAAAGTGTATTAGGTCATATTTTTATAGTTAAATCGTTTTTTTAAAAATCTGAAACATTTGAACAAATTTACTGTTATTACCATTATTTGTGGAATCATTAGACACTTTAGAAAATTTGCGAATTACTTTTCATTTCTGAATCCTTTTCACGTTTCGTACCATTTATATCTTAAAATATTCATGGTGGAATGATGTCTGCATTTAACTTCATAAGCCCAATTGCTGTTACATGTATGTGAACGTAAAATCCACAACTGGTGATATTCAGTTATTACAGGCTTCATGCTCATTTACCTGCAACTTTGAATATAAAATCATGTGTATGCCCTCCTTGCATGATATGTGTTTGCATGAGACAGTAAACTATTTCTTCATATACCTGTAGTTGCATGAATCCTGCTTGAGTATTGCATGCTCTCTTAGTCACATATTATTAAGCGACTAAAGATCTGGTGCATCTCAAACCATGTTTATTGACTGTATTTTATTTAATGGAACTCAAGTTAATAAAAGCATGATTGAGGATTCATACCTTTCTGACAGTTTCAAGCCTAAAGATAGGTGGTCTGAATCCATGTCTATATATATGTTAAGCGATATTTTTAGAAAGTCTATGAATTGCTTTTTATTTCGGCATCCATTGGACATTTGGTCTGTAATCATTGTGGAATGACAAGGCAGCTGTTGATTAGCGCAGTTATTTGTATATGTTCCCTTTCACAAGAGTATGGCCACAGCAAATAGCATAATGTATTTTTAATTTAATCAAATAGTCATGCATGAATAATAGCTAAGGTGGGTTGGCCTTTATGAATGCTTTACAAATTACGTACAAACAATATCCATTAACCATAAACCTTTTTGTTCTCATTATTGCTTTATGCTTTTGTAGGCCATCATAAATGTATGGTATTTAAATAACTTCCAAAAAAAAAATAAATAAATAATACTCATTAAGCATTGCAAGAATCATGTTTTCGCCATCATTAAAAAAACCCAAAACATTCTCATGCTTTTTAGCTTTAAATGTCAGTCTTTAAAATTATGAAGCTGTAGATGTGTATATAATTGTATCTATAATGTATGTGTTACATATGAAGAGTCCAGGGGAAGAATGATCTAAGTCACATGTTGGTCTTTTCGCTTAAAAGGCAAAACAGACTTTTGGACGAGAACGGAACAATTAGTGGGGAACAATTAGTGGGTTTAATTACAACTTCAAAATGATGTTTAACACGAATTATAATTACCTAGTACAACAATAAAGGGTATGATGGACGAATTTGTCCGGGAGGCCATTTCAGAAGGGCCTTGGTTCAATGTGACTCCAATCGTTTTTATCTGAAATTGATTGTTCCACAGAAAGCTTATACAATTTGCTACCAGATAGCACCATTAATTAACTGGGGTTCGTTGAAAAAGTGACTTAGATTGTTCTTCCCATGGGGGCCTTCAAAAACCTGAACTGTAGAGCAAGAAAACTTTGTGAGTTTGAAAAGAAATCGAAAATATTTACATATCACATTTTACTTCATACTAATTCTCCCGTTATATCAAAATGATTCGCTTATTCTTTTGTTCTTTTTAATGGATGGTAATGAAAAAATTTGATTAGCTAAGAATTAATGCTTCTTGCATATTCTACAGTGTGCATTGTGTCTATTTATTTTGGCAAAGGCATTGATAATTTGGTATTCCTTGAAAAATAGAAAACTCATTGGTTAGACACACCCTTCTCTCTATGGCGCCCAGTGGAACGTGTCATTAGTAATTGGTGTGATCGTCCATTTGCAGCTTCCATTGGTTGGCTTCCTCGTTGACTTAATTTAAATTAATTTGATTAGGGATCCCACTAAGATTTGTTTGCATCAAACATAGTAATATAATCAATTAGATTACGGTTTTGATTCCCCGGTTGTACGTGACAAGGAGTAGGGTCGCCTGTCCAATCTTGAGGGTTTTCTCTGGGTCCTCTGGTTTCCTCCCACTGTTAAAGATTACAATCAGATTATGATTACATCTAATCAATTAAATTACTGCTTACTCATAACTATAACATATCTTTCAACAATCTTAGTGGGGTTGGATGGCCGAATAGTTAGCGTGTGTGTGTTGTATCATAAGGTCTGTCATTGAGTCAGCTGGCATGGTTTCGATTCCCCGGTTGTACGTGACAAGGAGTAGGGTCGCCTGTCCATCCTCGTGGGTTTTCTCCGGGTTCTCCAATTTGCTCCCACTACTGAAATTAAAAAATTTAACCATAGGTTAGCCCCAAAATGACCTAGTTTGTGTCGAGTGGATGTTAAACCCCATTTCTCTCTCTATTGTAAATAAAATACCTGTATGTTAGTTTCAAAATAGGGGTGTTGGATGGCCGAATGTTTAGCACGCGCGCGCTGTATCATACGGTCTGTCATTGAGTCAACTGGAGGGGTTTCGATTCCCCGGTTGTACGTGACAAGGAGTATGTCCAACCTCATGGGTTTTCGCCGGGTCCTCCGGTTTCCTCCCACTGCTAAAGACCCCTACGCGCAAGCGAATTATTGAAATAAAAAGATTAAACCATATGTTAGTCCCGAAATGACCTAGTTTGTGTCGAGTGGACGTTAAACCCCATTTCTCTCTCTCTCTAGTTTCAAAATGGCCCTGGTAGATATATCCGTGGACGCTAAACCCCCTCCCTCTCTCTTTCTCTCTAGATCTCTCTCTCTCTCACTTTAACAGTCTTAGAGCTCTATTGAAGGGAGATATATATACCGGTACATGGTTCGAGGACAGAATATAAATAGATCTGCATTTATGTTTACACATGGTCCCTATTTTTATTCAGCAAAGTTTTCTTACTCTATGGTTTGGTAAACTTGCTGCAAGATTTAAAATAATGGTATATTTGATTAACAATTTTCAGTTATGAAGCTCATGTTAGTAAAATTCCTGAGAAAGAACAGGTTAAACACAAGTTTCAACAAACTATTACATTTGTAGAAGACTATCTGTGTAATATTGTTAATAAGGCCTGGGCAGAAAAAGAACAGAATAAACTGACCTTTGAGGTAAGACAAAAGATATTTTTTTTTTTTTTTGTGGAAGAGAAAGATTTTGTGAAGATATTAACATTATTTCAGAATAGATTAAAATATTACATATGTATAATTTGTTTTGTCTTTTATACTTTCGATGACCTTGTGTAGTGATGACAAGTAAACGACATGTTGAACTATACAAAACAAAGGGACACAGGATATGCGTTTTAATCACATTGTAACTCAGTGGATTGAAAATTGCAATTTCATTTTACTTTCCTATAAATCACAAAATCTCTATTTATTCATATGTATGTATGTTTTATTCCCATACCATTTAGAAAACTGAGTTATAAGGTGGTAAATCGCTAATATTTGGGACCTAGAAATTGACACAAATGGGTCGCAACACATATATAATGTAATATGAATGTACATAAACTGATTTACATTCAATCGTTTCCGTTTTTACTTTAATTTCAAATCAGTTATGTTCGGCGAAATACGCCAGAAGTTTTAATCGAATGGCAATCTCTAGCATGTGGTTATTCCAGTCTACACTGATTTATTGCGCATGCTCTCAAGATAAGAATATGGCATCACTGTTTGACATGACTTGTGGAATATGTCTAGCTTCATTCTTTGAGTCCCTTGTTACAAATGGCGCTGAAACGCATTATGGTACACGATTTGTGTACCAATGATAAATAGTTTATTTTGTGTTAAACATTGGATATCAGAAGCCCATCTTTTTCCTTTAAGATCACAACATCAGTGTTGATTTAAATTGACAAATAATTCCTGTTTTCAATGTCAAAGACTGTGGATGATATTGGGTTAGAGGCTTAGCTCCTTTAAATATTAGTTCAAAATTGTATTTATTTTTTGTTCCCATACTTATTAGAAAAATGATTTAATAAAATTAAAGAATCCCCGCTCAACAGAATACACAACAGACTTGTAGAAGTAGAAGATTGTTTAATGGGTCGACGTTTCGGGTGCAATACCCTTTATCAAGATTCACCCGAAACGTCGACCCATTTAACAATCTTCTACTTCTACAAGTCTGTTGTGTATTCTGTTGAGCGAGGATTCTTTAATTTTATTTTACTACCCCGCCCCGCCGGTATCATATTTTGATCCAGTCTCCACGCAGATGTATCAGCCTGTCCAGTTTTAATTACTCTCTAAGGGAGTGTTGCCGTACCCTTTTCCTGTTTCCAAAAATGATTTAAACAATAGGACAAATTTGACCTGAAATAAATATCAAAATAATAAGGGGTAACTTTTTGGATTGGAATTGAAATTAGATACGGTTTGTGATAGAAATGAAATGAAATTGGGTTTAACGTCCTACTGTTCTGCTCCGAACTGGGCTAATGAAGACGTGCATACACCATATAGTGTGCTAGGAGGGAAATTTTGCCCGGACAGCGGCACTATGGCCTACTCAGTGACACTACGGCCTACTCTTATATCAAATTCCAACTGTCAAGGGATCTTTTACGTGCACACCAATGTGTACACTGGACATCGGTTTTTCGTGCCATCTGAACGACTAGATAGCTGTTCTTGTCAGGTCCTCTGTACAGCAACACTGACAAGGGAGAACCATGCCAGAAAATCTGGATGAACTTTCTCGGCCAATGCAGGGATCGAACTCCCGACCTCCAGGCTAGCGAACCAGTGTCTTACCCACTTAGCTACCGTGATCCCCAGTTTGTCATAGAAGAAAGATCAACCGTTGTGTGCATACTCTAGGTTTTTCAGTCTATCCTGGGGTTTAGTGTGTGCTGTATCATACGGCCTGTCATTGAGTCAACTGGCGTGGTTTCGAATCCCCAGTTATACGTGACAAGGATTAGGGTCGCCTTTCCAACCTTGTGGGTTTTCTCCAGGTCCTCCGGTTTCCTCCCACTGCTAAAGACCCTTAAACGCAAGCCAATTATTGAAATAAAATTAAACCATATGTTAGTCCCGAAGTGACCTATTTTGTGTCGCGTGGACGACGTTAAACCCCATTTCTCTCTCTCTCTTTAGTGTATATCTTATTATTATCATCACTCTATTAATTTGGTTTTTTTTCTCTTCAGGTTGTGAATCTAGCACGTCAATTGATTTATTTTGGATTCTACACGTTCAGTGACTTGCTGCGACTCACAAAAACGTTACTCAGTATCTTAGATTGTATCCCAGAAACCATTAGTTCCAATCTTCCAAATATAGATGGTAGGGTAGAAATATGGGTATTTTCACAGTTCATATACTAATGTCCAAAAGAAAGTATACACTGTTCATTTAGTCCTGCTTCAAACAAAGTTGTTTTTCCATTGTATGCGGTATTTGGGTACAATGTCCATTTGTTTTGCCTTGTATTTGCTTAGAAATATTGAATTTGGACGCCCGAGACATGTTCAGTGTAGTTTTATCACATTTTGTTGATTTAAACAAAACTTAGTCATATTTTTAGTGTGTATACTTTCTTTTGGACATTAGTATAGTTGTCTTTTGGAACTCTGTCACTGGCTCCATATCTGGGAGTCTGTCATTTAGTCAACTGGCGTGGTTTTGAATCCCCGGTTGTACGTGACAATGAGTAGGGTAACCTGTCAAACCTCGTGGGTTTTCTCCAGGTCCTCTGGTTTCCTCCCACTGCTAAAGACCTCTACGCGCAAGCAAATTATTGAAATAAAATTGAACCATGTGTTAGTCTCGAAATGACCTAGTTTGTGTCTAGTGGACCTTAAACCCCATTTCTCTCTCCCTCTCCATGTCTGGGAGCTACAGTGGCTCACTAATCCAGTAAGTCTGGGGTTCGTCCCCTGTTTTGGTTGAGAAAGTTCCCTCGTCTGATGAGCAGGAGAGCAGGACCGAGGGCCTGGCAAAGACAGCATCTAGACATTGAAGTGGGATGTAAAACCGAGATCCCATGTAATCCTGTGTACACTGTAGATCATGCTTTGGAGCCTCTGCAAAATTTCACTCATAGTACACTGTCATTTGGATTGGCGTGCAATTAACAACCCTTGACAAGTAGAATTGGATGAGTTGGTGGGAACACCGTCGTTCCACCAAATCAACATGCATGAAATTTCAATTCAGTTCTTTGCCTACTTCAAATTGCATGTCTTTTAGAAATAAACCTCCTCTCCCCCCCCCCCCCCCTAAAAAAATGATCTACATGTATATAGTTTGTGTGAGTGAACAATAAACTCCATTTCTCTTCTCTTGTCCAGTGGCCAATAAACTTCATTCTTCTCTCTCTCTCTCTCTATCTTTATCAAGTTGAAGATGCTGGAAATGGTGAACCTAGTTTACTGTTAGCAACTGTGGAACTTGTACAAAAATCCAAAATTAAAGAAGACCAGGAGGATACACTTGTCATGGACACAAAACTCAAAATAATAGAAATACTCAAGGTAAGAATTTCTTATCAATGTGGTTTTTTTTACTTTTTAAATTCATTTCGCCTTGATAATCTGAATATGATTGAAGTAAATTTCCATGAGACATTAGACCTTAGTCCATCATATTATAATTTCCATGAGACATTAGACCTTATTCCATTATAATGTAATTTCCGTGAGACATTGAACCTTATTCCGTTATATTGTAAATTAGTTTAAATTATGATACTTCTCTAAGAAGTTGTCTTCATGTTTCTAATGCAGGAAAAAAAAAGACGTTTCCACTGAGTTCTATGTTAACAGAACACAGTATTTATGGGAAACAGTCACTAGTTTTATTCCAAAAGCACGATGTTTCCACCACTTGTCGTTACCAATGTGTTTCTTAATTTCTAAATGCCACTCAAAGATTAGTTTGATGTATTCATAAGATTTCTCTAGATTTTCTACTATTTTTTTTGAAGGGGGGGGGGGGTAATTTCAACATTTAAATTGTTTAGTTCATCACAATGAACCTATCCCCAGAACAAAGACCTAATAATGCATCTTTCTCCGACAGCGTACATTTCACAAGGTTTGTGATAACTTCATTGAAAATTGCATTTACAACAGCAAGTTTACATGTTCATCTGGCAAAATGTTTTAACATTACTGCCATCTAACTCATTTTTAAAAAAACCCCAGATAAATTCCGATTAGAAAACAAAAAAATTTTATTAAAATTTTAAATGGGCTGAGAAAATGATGTCAGTTTATAAATCATATTAACTGAAGCTGGGAATACTGTCCACGATATCATATGTAATGGACGTTAAATTTGTAATAAACAGCAACAACAAGAAGCTGGGGATAGGTTAATTAATTATATATCATTCACCATATAATTTGTTTATTTTCAGTTCTTAAAATCTGTCCTAAATATATATAATTCTAAATCTGTCCTACATATATATAGGTTATTTATATATCATTCACCATATAATTTATTTATTTTCAGTTATTCAAATCTGTCCTAAATATATATCATTATCCATTTCTGAAGTCTAAATCTGTCCTACATACATTTCCCTAATCACCTATCTGTCTTTTAAAACTTTGTATTTCTGATACAAGATAAGCCGTCTGTGAGGATTTTGTACGATTATTTATACAGGGCATTGGGTGGCAGAGGGATCATTAGCCTGTCATCTAGTTCTCAGTCCTAGGTTCAATGTTCGATCGGTGGCATTGTCAATCACATGCCCATTTAGTTAAGTCATAGTTTCGATTGGTTCCATTGTTGATCACATGCCCATTAAGTTAGGTCATAGGGTTGATTGGGTCCATTGTCGATCACATTCCCATTTAGTTAGGTCATAGGTTCGATCGGTGCCATTGTCGATCACATTCCCATTTAGTTAGGTTCAATGTTCGATCGGTGCCATTGTCGATCACAAGCCCATTTAGTTAAGTCATAGGTTCGATCGGTTCCATTGTCAATCGTAAGACCTGTTATGTAGCTTCAAATCCTATGTTCGATGTTCAATTACTGCCATTGTCGATAATAAGACCTCCATGTCCTAAGCTTGATCCCACGCTTGTCTGTTTCAAGTAGTAGAGTCTCCTGCCCAACATTTTGGGGATTTCCAATGGTATTCAGGTTTTCTCAGCCTTATAAAAACCCTGCAAAGTCAGGGGATTTTAACCTGGAATCTATGTTTCCTCCCACTTATAAAGACCCTTCATATTTTTTATTGTGTTTTAGTCCTGGAATGACCTAATCAATGTTGACTGAATGTTAAATTCCATTTCTCTTTAATTATTTATATACACATCGGATTTACATGAATGTAGGTCTATTCAATTTATAGACAACTGGTCGACTGAGATTTGATTATTTATAACATAGTCCGTCCCCTCTTTTGGATGTGTAGACAAAAAATCAATTTTATTTTAATCTTGACTAAAATACAGATATTTTGACCTTGTCAGCTTTCTTGATTCTTTTCCATTTGAATTTCTGTTGATCAGTAACACCTAGTAAAAATTCTACCTCCAATTTCTTCAGGTAAAAAAACTAATTTACAAACAAAAAGTACTGAGTTGCTCTTCTCAAATAACTTTTATTTTCAAATGTTTAAATCGGATCTTCGCTCAACTCAGATAAAATCCTTTGGGTTTGGACCCTTTGATCCTGCACGTTTTTCTTATTAAATTTATGCGCGTAAGCCTGATTTCCTAAGTCGGATCTTCGCTCAACTCTGATCAAAATGTTAGGTCCATTTGATCTAATTCCGGCTTTTTTTCTTCGCCTAAGTCGGATCGGCAGTGTGTTCAGAATTTGACTTTTAGTTTCGTACCGATGGTCTAAAACGCAGTTAGGTATTCCATGCACAGAGTCCCAAAATACTTTCCTCTTTCATTTTGACTCCGGGGGGGGGGGGGGTGTTGGATGGCTGAATGGTTAGCGTACGCGCGCTGTATCATAAGGTCTGTCATTGAGTCAACTGGCGTGGTTTCGAATCCCCGGTTGTACGTGGCAAGGAGTAGGGTCGCCTGTCCAACCTCGTGGGTTTTCTCCGGGTCTTCCGGTTTCCTCCCACTGCTAAAGACCCCTACGCGCAAGCGAATTATTGAAATAAAATTAAAAACCATATTTTAGTCCCGAAATGACCTAGTTTGTGTCGAGTGGAATTTAAATCCCTTCTCTCTCTCTCTCTCTCTCTCTCGCTCTCTCTCTCTCATTTTGACTCAAATCAGCCAATTTGACGCGACGTTATAATAGAATTTTTACAGAAAATTCGAAACTCGCTGTCTACTGTACGAGACACTTTCCGGGAAAATTTAGGACATTTTTCAAAGATGGCAAAAAAACGGAAATTATCTACTCGTACAAAAACGGACGTTATCTACTCGCACATATGAACATACAAACGAAAGCTTGAAATGTGCCTTTGAATCAATTATTATCTGGCTCTTGCAGTTTATTTCTAATCGAGCTAAGATTGAATTTCGGTCTTTGGCTAACTCTGATCTTCGCTTAATTTAAATAAAATTGGTCAGTCCACTTAGATCCGACTTATGCAAAGTTTACTATATGTTGTTTTTAATATTAGACAATTTGACAAGAAATCTGTCGATATCTGTATTTTAATCATATCTAGACGAGTAAAAATAAACATAGTTTAATATGTCTCTAATATATTTCTCACTATTTTCTAATTTCTAATATAACTTCTTCCTATAGTGTTTGTACATTTTTGTAGCTCGATTCTAATTACATGTACGTACTGTCATAACACATTCTTTCTATTTCTGAGAGTGCAAAGATCTTAACTTAAAGATGAATTCCCACAAAAGTATTTATATGGGAGTTAATCATGGTAAAAAAATCAGGAATTGAATATGTTCGGTAGTAAGCCTCCTTTGTCCCCTAGCAACCATGGTTGTAAATTCAGGAATTGAATCTTTTTTTGATATCTTTGCACACTTTACCTTTTCCTTCTACTCTTCTCTCCACCATGGGCCATATAAAGGTGTTCCTACATCAGATAAAGTTGTACATTATTGAAATACTAAAAGTTAAAGTCTCTGAGTTTAGCGCTATTGGAATCCCTTACAAACTACATTATTGTGAAAGTTGGAAATGAAATGAATTGAATGGGGTTTAACGTCCTACTGTTCTGCTCCTATACTGGGCTAATGAAGATGGGCATACGCCATACAGTGTGCTATGAGGGAAATTTTGCCCGGGCAGCGGCACCATCGCCTACTCTTATATCGAATTCCAACTGCCAAGGGATCTTTTACGTGCATTCCAATGTTTACACGGGACCTCGGTTTATTCGTCTCATCCGAAGGACTTGACAGCTGTCCTTGTCAGGCCCTCCGTCCTGCATCACAGACAAGGGGGAACCACGCTGGAAAATCGGGATGAACTTTCTCAGCCAATGCAGGGATCGAACACCCGACCTCCAGGCTAGCGAGCCAGCGTCTTACCCACTTAGCCACCGTGGCTGGATCTATATAAC